GGTCTCACTATATTTCTTGGAGGTTTCTAGAAGATTCTTGAATAACCTTATAACCGTGGTTTTGAACTCTATATCCACTAGTTTGCTTTCCTCCATTTCTTTCATTTGTGACCTGTTTCTTTGTCTCCACATTTTGGCTGCCTCCCTGTGTTGGTAGCGTGGCTTTGTGTGCTAGGTGTCCTATAGGGCCCAGTGGCTCAGCCTCCCTAATTACCTGAGGTGGACACTCTAGGTGCACCCCTTTGTGGGCTGTGAGCACTGTCTTGTAGTTGAGCCTTGATTGCTGTTGGTGTCACTGGGAGGAATTGACCTCCAGGCCAATTGGCTGTGAGGACCAGCTGTGTCTACAATGGAAGAGCTGCTGAGCAGGAGACACCCCTGTGGGGCAGGACGTGCTTCAGTGGGGCTTTGGTGCTCACTGAGTCTGCCCCTTGAATGTGTCTCTTATGGATGTGAAGAGTTGTAATCTGGATGGTCTCACTCTGACCACTGGGTGCACTGGCTCTTGGATCTCCAAGGAGGTGCAAAGTCAGACACTGCCTGAGGCCACCCAGCAGGAGCTACAGAGAGATCTGCAGATTTCTCCTCTTTGTTTGGGGTTTGGAGGTGCCCAGATGAGGTGCAGCTGTGAAGCAATGCTGGCCGCTGACGAGCCTTAGGCCTTCTTTTGAAAGCTCTGGGGTTCTCTGACCCAGCTGCAGTTTGTTAGGTTTTTAGGCGGAAAAAGGCCAGGCCATTGTATACAAAAGCCTCTGCACACAGCTTGGGTGGGGTTGTAAATTGGGTGGGGTGGGGTCTCAGGGAATCACCAGGGCGGAGCAAACAGCAATGGTTGCCCATTAGCCTTGCCCCAATAGGTCCGTGGGTCTTTGTGTCCTGCGGGCCCCCTGCAGGAACAATGACTGCTGCAAGCACCACTGCGAGAAAGCCACCCTCACGTTCCAGCCCCATGCCAGACAGTCCAGTTTCTCTCCGTATGAATCTGGGTCCCCAGATTCTTGCCAGGAACTGGAGTTCAGAGCAGTCGGGAGCTTGTATCTCCCTCCCAATTGAAAAAGACAATAGTGTACCCAGATGGCAGCCCCTTTCACGTGCGCCTCTGTACCTCCACACTTCCACACCTCTGCACCTCCTACGGGACTCAGTGCGCTTTTCTCATTCCTTCTAGTTGTAGAATTTCCACTCAGCCAGCCTTCCTGTGGTTCTGGGTGATACTCGTTTTGTCTTTTAGTTGTAGTTTTAATGTGGTAGTGGGAGGCAGCAAGTACAGGCGTTTACCTATGCCACCATCTTGGTTCTCCTCTAAGATCCTTACACCTATGAAATTCCTTAATTGTCAATTGTATTTCTCTCAAGTTGAACACGCACATGAGAAAACCATGTTAATCTTATGTATCTTCTTGCAAAATACCCTTTTGGCTTCTCCACACAGTGAAATGCATTTCAGAAGCTGGGGATCTGACCACAGAACAATCTCACACGTGTCCCCCCAGGCTGAGCACCTGGTCACAAAATTCTCTCTAAACATCACCCTCTTTTTCACATAGAAACGGATTATCTGAAAACATAGGTGACAGTGTCTTCTGCTTTGCAGTTGCTCTTTATTTTCTCTCTCTATTCTTCCTGGTCCCCACACATCCTCTGTCTCTTCCAGCCGCTCCTGAAGTCGTCATTCCCCGCTCAGTCCCACACACGCTCACACCAGCCAGGGCTTCCACTCTGACCCAGTGTTCCCATCAGTACTTCATCCCTCCACTCAGGTTTGTAATTTTAGCATGGTATTTTTCTATCCTTTTTTTTTTTTTTTTTTTTGCTTTTATTGATTTCAGAGGGGATGCTCAACCACTGAGGCACACAAGCCGGGCAAAAGTAACATTTTTAATAACACATTTTCCTGCCATCTAAATGTATTCACTGTTTTTCAAACAAAACATATTTGCTCAGTGACTGAAAGATTAAATTCAGCCTGCACAGCTGTAGGGAGTATCTAACAGTATGGACTCAAGCACACATATTCGACCAAATTATACCAATTTAAGCAAAATATCTTCATCATATAATATTCTCTGACTATATTATTGGATTCTAGGAAAACATTGGTATTTCAGTCCAGTGGTCACCAACTGGTGGTTCACGGACAACTGGTGGTCTGTGAGATCCAAAAGGTTGGCAACCGCTGTTTTAGTCCTTTCGTTTTGTATTTCATCAAAGATATATGCCCCATGTTGCCTCATTTTTATCAAGAGAAATTCAGATTTCCTGACATTTAGATTTATAAGAAAGCTCTTTGGTTTCAGCTTCAGCTAAATAATTGGTTCACATTATGTCTTGTTGTTTCTTTCCCTGATTGGATTTAAGCTAATTCCTCAGTGTGGTGATGGTGGTGAGGAAGGATGCCAGTGAGACACAGTGAGAGCACAGGAAAGGAAACAGAAACATTGAGTTTAAAATGTTTTGAGTTTCTCTTGCCGGTTTAGTTCAGTGGATAGAGGATGGGGCTGTGGACAGAAGGATCCCAAGTTCGATTCCCGGCCAAGGACAAATGCCCAGGTTGCAGGCTCAGTCACCAAAGGGGGCATGCAGGAGGCAACCAATCAATGAATGAAACTCTCTTATCCTTGATGTTTCTATCCCTCTCTCCCTGCTCCTTGCTCTTTGAAATTAAAAGAAAAATTAATAACATAAATTTTGAATAAACTAAAGGATTGTATTTGGAAATGTTAGTTAAATAAAATCCTTATGTTGATTAGTAAATACATAGATATGTTAAATATTCATTGCTATTTGTTGTTACCTTAAGTCTGACTACTTTATGAATAAAATCAAGAGATTGAAAGATTTAAATCGCTGGCCATTTGAAAACTTTTATTTTCATTTTGGTGTAGACTTATTAATCTTCACATCTATTTCCTGCCCCTCTGCATGCTTGTGAGGTGTGTGAACGAAAAGGAAGGTTGTTAGCCAAGAAGATGGCTTCTCCCTTGGACAATGGAGTGGATGTGCCCAGAACCACTTCCTCATAATTGCGTTTCATGAACAAACCAACAACCAAACTTTATTTTCAAATTCAATGCTTTATTGGAAGGTGAACAGACATCCAATCAGTTCTGACAGCAAACGTAGAGGATCCTGGTCTATGAGGGAGATGCAGGCACAGTTGAAAATCTACCCATAATCCTGAGGAGCTAAAGACTTTTGTGCCAATAACCCAGCATGAGGTTTGCTGTCCGGTTACTTAGATCAAACGTGGAAGGAAGTCCCTTGTAAGTTCAGAGGCTGAGCTGCTGGGCAGGATTTCAGTAGAAGCCAGAGTATCCGTATCCCCCACAGCAGGACGGACGCCAGCAGCCACAGCCATAGCTTCTGTAGCCATAGCCACAGCCCAGGCCCCCAAGGCCTCCCCAGCCCCAGCCGGAGCCATAGCCACAGCCCAGGCCGCCGAAGCCGCCCCAGCCGTAGCCGCGGCCTCCGTAGTAGCTGCCATAGTAGCTCATGGTGTCAGGGGGAGTGTGTTTCTGTTCAAGATGAGATCCTGAGAGTGAGTGTCAGCGAGTGGGGAGGGAGCTTATATACCTGAGCCAGCAGGTGCTGAATCACGTGACCATTCTTGGGCTTCATTCCCAAAGATTCATGGCCCTGAGGCAGCTCATTAATCTGTTTGCTGACGCCAGAGATGCTCATATGTATTAAAATGTGGAGCCGGCACAGCTGCCTGGTTAGAACACCCTGGAACCCATGACATTCTTGTTTTTAAGTAGAAGCATATCTGCCTTCCACGTCACAGAATAAAAACTCACTAAACACAATTCTCCATCCTAAGCGCGTGGCATTCGTCATATTTGTTGGCGTGTTCTCATTAAATGTTGTGCTTAATTTGCATATCATTCTTTGAATTTTCCTGTCTTACTTTCATCTCAATTCAAATGCACAGATCCAATTTCAGATTCTTACACCTATGAAATTCCTTAATTGTGTAACGTATTTCTCTCAAGTTGAACACGCACATGAGATAACCATCTTAATCTTATGTATCTTCTTGCAAAATACCCTTTTGGTTTCTCCACACAGTGAAATGCATTTCAGAAGCTGAGGATCTGACCACAGAACAATCTCACACGTGTACCCCCAGGCTGAGCACCTGGTCACAAAGTTCTCTCTAAACATCACCCTCTTTTTCACCTAGAAACGGATTATCCAGAAACATAGGTGACGGTGTCTTCTGCTTTGCAGTTGCTCTTTATTTTCTCTCTCTGTTCTTCCTGGTTCCCACACATCCTCTGTCTCTTCCAGCCGCTCTTTAAGTCACCATTCCCCTCTCAGTCCCACACACGCTCACACCAGCCAGGGCTTCCACTCTGATCCTGTTTTCCCATCAGTACTTCATCCCTCCACTCAGGTTTGTACTTTTAGCCTGATTTTCTCTCCTTATATTCTTTTCTAAAAAATTTCTTTTTATTGATTTCAGAGAGCAAGGGAGAGGGAGAGATAGATAGAAACATCAATGATGAAGAACAATCATTGATCAGCTGACTCCTGCACTTCCTATACTGGGGATCAAGCCTGCAACCCGGGCGTGTGCCCTGACCAGGAATCAAACTGAACCGCGACCTCCTGGTTCATAGGTTGATGCTTAACCACTGAGACATACCGGCTGGTTGGTTGTGTCCTTATATTCTTTATCAATTCTCTGTGTCCTGCCTCTAATTTTCTCTTAGGCAATCAGCAAACACTTTTATGTTTTATTTTAGAATAGTTGAATGCAATCTTACATTGGTTGTATTAGTTCCAGGTGCACAATAGAATGACTCAACATGTTTGTACCTCAGAATGGCCTCCCCCTGTAATGACCTGGCAATCACCTGTCACTGTGCAAACTTGTCACAGCATCACCGACTCCATGACCCTTTCCCTTGTCACTCAACCCCCAACATTTTCAATAAGATATTCTAATTCTTCATGGTTTTAAATTACAAAAACTCTATACTCCTAAGATTATATTATATTTTAATGAAAGTCTCCTGAAATCTTGATGCCTGGAAATGCTGCAAAAAATAAACATGGCAGGGAGGATGTGACTGAGACAAAAACAGAAATATCACAGAGCTTAGCCTCCAGCCTTCAGCGAATTTCCTCGGCTCGTAAGGAACCCGAGTGTGAGCCCTCGGTTCAAGGTGAAGCCCTACTGGAGTGTGCCCACGCCTGGGGTTTGGTCTTTACCATTGTGTGTGCTTCACAGACTTTAACATGTACCAGGGCTTTGTTTTGTAGGTGGTGCTGGGGTTTTTGTTCCGTTTTGAGGTTTATAAGTGTTAGAAGCAAGCTCCTCAATGAGGGATTTGACTCTCTGGGTGAGGGGAATCAGAAGGACACGCCAGTACCAGCAGGCAGATGGGACCTGCTTTATTACACACAACAGCAGCCACAGTAGGTGGTCAGTGGCACCTTACCTACATGCCCAAACACGCTCAAGAAAAGAGGCTTTTTGCCAAATACCAGATGTACCAGTTAATATTGTGGATTTTTTTTCACTAGATGGAGTTACACATATATTGATATATATGCGATGAGATGTGTATACTATTTTGTTGTATTGACAGCAAGCTTCAAAACTTCATATGTCAAATTTTCTGAAGGTGTTAACATCATATTTTTACACTTAAAAATGATGAATTTCGTGCCAAAAAAAGAGCATTTGCAGGAAGTTTTAATTCATTACTTTATTTTGAAGAAAAGTGCTGCTGAAAGTTATGGTGAACATTCTCTATCTCAAGACATTTGTGAACGCTGGTTTAAATGCTTTAAAAGTGATGATTTCGATGTGAAAGACAAAGAACGTCCAGGTCAGCCGAAAAAGTTTGAAGACCAACAATTACAAGCATTATTGGATGAAGAAGGGTGTCAAACTCAAAATCAACTTGCTAAAAGATTAAACGTTGCTCAGCTAACAATTTCTGATCATTTTCAAGCAATGGGAAAGATTTTAAAGGAAGGAAAAATGGGGGCCACAGCAACTGAATGAAACACAAATGGAAAACCGAAAAGTCATCAGTAAAATTTTGCTCCAACGGCACGAAAGAAAGTCTTTCTTGCATCGAATTGTGACTGGCGATGAAAAGTGGATTTATTTTGAGAATCCCAAACTCACAGAATCATGG